CATTCATTCATTCTTAACCAATGACGCGGGAAACGTTAAACAATAAAAATCCTCAGATAATTTTATAGTAACATAATATTTCAAAAATTATATTTCGAAACAATTGTTATACTTCGCGAATCGCTTAATTTTATTATTTCTGTTTGTAAGAATTTGGCAAAAAGAAATTTATCAAATTCCTGCAAAGCTTCTTTCAAAATTTTTCGGCAAAAGTATTAAACGTTACGAAGAAAAAATACTTTATAATATCGTTCGTAAATTCTATATATACACATATACGTATACATAATATATGTACATGTTATTTACACTAAAATATGAAAACGGAACTCCACGGACCTCAATCGTTCCGACCTCGTTATTCGATCTGCACCGCTCAAATGTGCAATGCACACATTTCTCTCCGATTTTCCATTACCGCTATGCAGGCTCTCGTTCTTAATCTCTCAACGTCTTCCGCGACGAAAGAGCAACGTAATCCCCCTTACCTTCCTTTTGTTCGTGAAAGAAATCTTCCTTCGTTACTTGGTACGTTGCGCGAATTATCGATCAGTCGGGTGAACCCGACGTCCAGAAAAATGTACGCGCTTGCAGGTGCATTCTAATGTAACTTATGCGCTCACGTTGACTCTAAACTACCAGAAAACTAGAACCTGCAACGAAATGCTATGACTGTAGAGTCATTCTCATAAATGTAGCTCGACAAAAATATACGGTGAACTTTTCCTGGCGAACAAGAATCACTACATTAAACGTATAATATTATCTAGAAAAGACATATATAACAGAGAGAAAGAGATGTACGGTATTTTCAGCTTACAAATTAAAAATTTTTAGATAAAAGCTAAAAATATCGAAATGTTTTGTGTGCTGCGTGTGTGTTCCAGAGTTACGTAAAACCTGACTTGTCTCCCGGCCAAGTGGAGCAATAACCTCGGGATTTTCTGAAGCAGAAATGGAACGATTTCCCGAACCTTTGTTAAAAAAGACTAACAAGAATATCAATTGTTAAAGCGCATTTTATCTTTCTGACTCACGCGAGAGATTTGATACCGAAACACGACACGCTGCACGGTCAATATAAAATCGCGCGCACCACAATATGTACTGTTATAATTGCGCGATTACTTCTTTCTTGAAATCACACGAAACTTTTCTCGGCAAAAGCGTTTCAATATTTATCGAGCACACGAAAGTGCGAATAGGTTCCCGCGGCCAGCTCCGCGCGCTCTTTGTACGTACATACATACATCGTTGCAATTCGCGTCTTTCAGTTGCACCTAAAGCGTCACGAATTTAACGTCTCGTCGAAACTCAAAATAGCAAATATATGAACTGATGACAGCCTCGATATACTCTTTTTTTTCTCCTTTTCGACGTCCGCGAGCCGGCGCGGCGAGGCACGGCAACGCGCCGTATTGTTTCCATCCCGTAGCCCGTAGTGCATTACGTAAATGAGAATAGTACCTCATGCATTGTATCCGATTCACGACGAGTCACGGCGTGACATCCCTTCAACTTCTAATCATCGCGTAAAGTGTTCTCTCTTCACGAGGAGAAAGCACTTAAGAGAAAATAAATTATCGACACGCGCGGGTTCTCTCAAGGAGACGCCATAAAAATTCTCTGAATATACGTATATAGATAACTCATAACTGATAGATAACTGATTTTACATTTAGTAAAAGTTTGATGTGAAATTCAATCCATGCGCCAAGCAATAGCGAAGCTTATCAAAATTATCGAGATACATACTTTTTTTTTGTTCAATAATATAATTTATATACATTTTTGCAGTATTTTCACAAAAAAAAGAAAGATAAGAAGATTGCATTCTCCGACAAACAAAGAATAATAAACGTTAATTCGATCGGAATCCAATTGTGAAAAGTATCAGTTTCATAAACGATCGCCCCAGATTCCGAAATTTAAGGAAGACAATTTACGCTTGTTTGTTCCGCTTCATGGACAGTTTTAGGTCACGTCGAAAAATTCAAAGTGTTCACGCATCAGATGAAAAATTCACATTTAAAATTTCTCTCTATCTCCATTTTACTCTAGTGTACGTATAGTAGTAATAGAAATCTGATTAAAAATTAAGTATTATATAAAAAGTGTTGTAAAAAAAAATATTAATTAATGTGTACTAAACAACGTTTGGATGGAAAAAATCTTCTTCAAATCTTTCATCATAACATTAGATATATATATAATATGTATTTTAACTCTATATAGTCCGCAAATCTTAAGATGGATGTTCTCTCGAGAATTTCATTCTTGGTTAGTGGTAACCTCTTGAGAATGCCATAATCGAGTATCGCTGTCAATATCGTGTCTGTCAATCATGAAGCTGTCGTTCGAAAGTCGCTCTCGAAAAGTAAGCGACTTTCAAACAGGTCGAAATATCATTAATGGCCTTAAAGTTTAACGTTAATCGCCACTCGAGATGCATCTGTATGCGTATAATGATTTCTACAGGATCGTGACTCGTATAACCCAATTCGTCGGTATCTCGCGGCCTCGCAAGGTATCATCACCATCAGGTTCAATTACAGGTAGTCGCATATGCGCGTACGTTGCACAGCCGGCCACCTGCTGTTGCGATTTACACGAGTAAGTCTCACGCTTCCTTGTTTTCCTTCTTTACTCTATTTAAATTCGTATTACGTTATGTTACATCCGACACTTCTTAATTTGATTCTCTTGTGAACTTTGCATCGAATTAAACAATAAGTATTATCACACCAGACTTTCACACAGAAGCCGATTTGATCTACCTCGTAAAATCAAAAATAAAGAAAATTAATACTGTAAATTAAATTATAAATACTATTCGTCTACTTTGGTACTAAAATTAAGAGGTTTATTATATAAAAAGTGGAGTTAACCAGTTTGACTTTTAAGAGGTTTATACTGAAAACGTTTACTTCCTTTTACACTTGAAGAAAACTTAAACTTCTTGTTTAAATACCAATAAGTTTTTAAGTAAAATTAAATAGAATAGAGATTAAAACTTGCAATTAATAAAAAAAATATAATGTTTTTATAATTAATTAATAATTCTAGACAAAGATATGAGTACGTCGAGACGTACACTTCTTTTGCAAATAAACAATAAACAAAAAATTAATTGCTTAATAGTATTAAATATCGTTCTGTTAATAAAAATTTCTATCGAGATACCGGAGTGATTAGTGTTTCATCGTCAAAATGACAGTTATTTCTGCGAATGCCACTTGATGACGAATCTTCAGGTCGTACGTGATTAGACAATATTGTCGTACGCCCACGTAAAAATTGACCTTCAAAAACGTGCCAAGATTATTTCATTATTCGGACAAATCTGCATTCGAAAAGCTCGACCGATATTTAAGAGATTTTATATTTTACAGTTAATTCAAAATTTATCTACATAACTTTCAATCAGTTGTAATTATTAACTCATTAAGTAAACTACAGGCATAATAGGCATAAGAAATAGGCAAAATTAATTCCTTTGACCTGACACGATATCTACTATGTGTATAATAAAATTATGTACACACTTTTAATAGTAATCAAATATATTATTAAATGTGTATGTTCTTATTCGTTATCAAATAACATTATTCATTTATATGTTAATAAATAAGACCGATAGTACTTTTATGTCAAATTAAATACCAAAAACATCTGGAAGTATTAAATTTACATATACGAGTTAGAAAAAGCTACTTAAGAAGTTTTACGAAATCATTTTTCCAAGATATTGTACAAGGCCAGCTTATACGCTATTCTTAATGCAACTTCTAATTTCGCCTAATTGTATTGCATTTTTTTCGCTGCTTGTTATTTAAATATCTGTTTGACATTGATAACTGGCATTTTCCATTCTTTGCAAGCATAATGTACGTAAGTCCAGATTGTAACAATGTGTTGCATTGCATTAAACGGCATCCAAGACACGAGCAATATCTATGCAAAATATAGTGCATTTTGCAGATTTTTTCGTAACAGCCTCTCATATATGGTAAATGCTAATTTCGCATCAAGCAACGACGAAGGTGAAGATTGTCATAACACTAGCAATTATTTCGCACAAGGACGTAGAACCTTCCAGCTCAAGTACGGCGTTATAAAATTCAATATCTAAGCAACGTCGAGCAACGTCGAGCAACGAATCATTCCCATTCAAATAAGCGAGTCACGCCTTTAACGCAACGTTGAGATGCACGCGCAAAAATCGGATGCTGCAAAGCCTGCACGCGCTGCGACTTTGAAGTCGCTTGTTAGATAAGCGCGAAATATACAGACGCGGATTATTTATTCGTCATCCGCGCGCAGAAACGAGTTTACGCGACGTACGGCGGTCACGGGGCGCTAGGAATCCGAAACTCGCGGAATCCTTCCGCGAGAGTCAACGGACCGCCTCTCCTCCTCTCGCCCGCCCTCCGTCTCTCGCCTCCCGCAATCGCGCGCGCGTTCCATCTTGCTCCTCCGCGCGACGACGGCCACGCGATCGAACAGTTTTTTCGAGCATCGCGCGAAACAGGTATTCGACGTCGCGCGAGATGACCAAGAGGCGAGGGGGACGGCAGACGGGTAGGTTGGGTAAAAGTACCCTCACACACTCGCGGATCACGAGGTTGCGACCGGGCGACGCGACGCGACGACGCGGCAATAAAGCATGAAAATCAGAGCTGAGAAAATCTCGGGCCAAAAAAAAAAGAAAGAGCAAGCTGGGGAAATGCACTCGGGACAACGCTGTCCCCCGAATGCAACGGGAAGGTCGAGCGCGAAGGACGCGACCGTCGCCGGTCGTCGGATCAGAGAATCCATCGCGGGCAGAGAGTTTCAAACGTCGCTCGCTTCTGCGTATTCGCGGAGGAAGCGCGACGGAGTCGACGGCGCCATCGCGAGAGACGGATAGCGGATAGAGCGCGAGGCGCCCGTTCGAAATCACGACGTCGACGCTTCTCGTCGCTTTTTTTTTTGGTCGCAAAAATAGAACGTACACTCACCGTCAGGCAAAGTCAGCTGCAAAGATCCTCTGCAGACTCCTCAGTCCCGGAAAAGTCCCAAGCCGGCGATAATCCACGTGACGGAGATGCAACGGTGATGCGTCAACACTCGCGTAGAACACTCACCCGCAACGCGCGCGCGTTGCACACGCACGATCCGTACGTTTGTAACGGCGCACGCCGACCGTATCGCCGCGATCTTACGCGATGCAACGAGAAGAAAGAAGATGAAAGAGAGAGAGAGAGAGAGAGAGAGGCACGTCTCTCCTGAACGAAAAGCGCGGGGAACGCAACGCGCGCGACACACGTTCACTCACGATCGCTTCGCGTAGCCGGTCGCGGCTCCACTCCGTCGCCAACTCCGGCACACTCGCTCCGCTCCGAGCTCCGGCTCGGCTCCGACTCGTGCGTCTCCGTGCAGCTTCGCCTTTCCTCGTCGTCCTCCCGTTCCGCTTATACCGTCCTTGCGCCGACGCCGTTCGGTTACGCTCGGCGCCACTCGGCTGCGCTCGGCCAAGATCACCAAATTTAAGAAGTTAAATTAGAGATTGCATTAAGGGTAGAATGAAATCTTGCCTATATTATGTATTTAATTCCGAAATAGAGAAGTTTTCACAATGTAAAAATGATATACTTGTATTATCTGCTATATATATAAAAAACTTTGTTATAATAAAATTGAAAATAGGATATTTAATATTAGGAAGCTAAGTATATTGTAATAATTTAATTTTTTAATCAATTGAAAAGAGAAAATCAAGTACAATTCATAAATAAATAAATAAATAAACGCTAATAATTTCTCTCTGTAATAGAAGCATTAGAAGCTATTATACTAATGGAAACAATCGAGAAAAGTAAAATAGAATGAGAAATATTATAAGTTTCTTATGGAAATATCATTGAGGCGAATACACATAGATAAAATGGAAACTTTTTATTTTCATATTTCCGTGTTTTTATTCAAGCGTATCACATAGCCTTTTTACTTTTATGGTCTCCGTTTTCCATGTGCACGTCTTTTCTTAATTCGTAAATCTGCAAAGAGAAAGTACGATTATGTATGTATGAATAACGATTATGTAAATATTGTAAATTGCAAAAAAGTAAGACTTGTTTCTCTTTACCCACCTGTATATATGCTTCGGTAAGAGTGATCATTTGGGGCAAAATTTGCGTGACGTGCAAATCTTGCAGTTCATACCATTGACCTGTGGCTCTATGCAAAATATGGACTCTATACGTCCCTTGTCCGGGTTCGCCATCGTGTACTATATTAGCTACTAGATCATACGTTGTATATGGATGCTTGGCTTTTACTTCTGGAGTTAAAATATCTCCGAAATCGACATTTCTGCAAACATAATCAGAATTTATAATTGAAACATTGTTAATAAATTTTTTAAATATACAGCGGTATATTGAACAAGAAAATATATTTACTTGACAGGGAAATTCACAATTGTTGGATTTTTTTCAACGAAAAATGTATTTCTTGTGAATCTCTGAAACCAATAAAAAATTATCAGAAATATAAAATGTAAAATATATGCACTATATAATAGCTTAACAAGACTCACTTTTATATAAAGTATGAGGTATGGTGGCAGTTCGGTAATTTCAAATCTCTTCATGAAATTTTCCTTGTAAGTTTTATATTCTTTCTCAGTGACAGCATTAAATTTGTTCAGAAGCGTGTACAAATTTACCTGAATAAAAGGTGATTTTAAAAATCTCTTTTCTACATTCTATTTACGTCATTAATATTGATAGACAGAATACCGACCTGTGGAATAATATTCTCTGTAAATTGATCTTTAAATAATGGAGGCGGCGGAAGATCGCAAGTGAGATATAAAAATGGACTCTCCGTCACAGTTTCGCCGTATTCCACAGTGTTCAACAATTCGCTTCTTTGGCTCTCTTCCAGTTCCAACGGCGGTATTTTCCGCGTGTATATACGCATATGACCCAAGAACGTTTTATAAATTATGCTAGAATCACGCTTCTTCGTGCCGTTTAGTGCCAGATGGAGAGCATTTAAAAACCATGATAAAAAATCCACAGGATCACCTAAACAGTGATTTATTGATAGAAACAATATTTTAATTACATAAAAGAGTAAAAGTTGATGAGAAACCTGCCACATACCTTGCTCTGTGAATTGAAATCTTTTCTTACTCCACAAAACTACAGCTTGCAGCATTTCATGGGGGCTTACGTGCGCTTTAAAATTACGTGGGTTCCACAATTTGCGCATAAGCTCTCCGAACCTTTGTACCAAGAGGTACGATGAATCACCAGGTGGTCTCCTCACATGAGAATAGTTAGATTCCCTTAAAAAGAAATCTCTCAAAGGTGTAACATGCGAAAGCGCCTGTAAAAACAAAAAAGTATTTAAATTACAAAATACATAGAATGCATCGCTATAGTAACAGATATTTATTTGATTACAACTTACTTGTAAAATAACGTTGCAATAATCATTTGCTTTTATGTTATTCATTCCCACTATTCCCGGCGAATACATAGAGCCGTCAATTGCCCTAGATTGTTTATCGCTCTTATCTAGCTGAGCTATTTGCATTTTGTCGAAAGTTGGATTTAACACATATTTAATATCATCCAAGGACGAATCTAATAAACATGTAAGAAATTAGTTTGCTGAAGAATAAAAACATAAGAGTATATATGATACAGGTTTACCTACCCACTATCTCGTAATTGTCTGGTAAACAATAAAATTTGAGCGTATGCAAATTAAGAAAGACATGATGACTCTCCGCCACGCTATGTGTGTAAGCATGGGTATTGGTTCCCCTGCCTTGGAAATATTTGCCACAAACCAGACAAGCGTATACATTGATTCTAGACAGCGATACGGAGCACAATTTTTCAAAGTCAAAATCCAAAAATTGTCGATTAATCGTGTCCAGATAGGGGCACAATCGTGGCGCCTCCGATCTCGTTTTTAAGTGCTTTGCATTCTCTGCAATTCAAAAAAAGAATACACCTGTGATGAGATAATATTATAGGTTATGTTTTGAGCGAAACGTAAAAAGAGTGAATGCGTGAGATGCTATCGATCGCTTTACTTTCTCATTTTACTTTTCCCATTACATATCGACGCCCGTAAATGTATTATTATAAAAATTCTTGTAAAGATAAGGAAAATCATAGCAAACGTCATTTAACCTCAAACTGTAAACAGCACCTTCTTGCGTTTCATTAAAGCCATAACGTATAGTATCTAGAATCGTATTGATGTAAATCGCCAATAATACTCTATCACATAAAATTGCATGTACTCACTTTCTGTTTCATTGTCCGAATCGCTCCCGGTGTCGATCAATTTTCGTTTTAGCTGGGTACCGCGTCTATCGGACGCCATTTCTGGTTGGATATGAATTACAACATGCATACACATTACACATGACACGGTCACATCGTGTATATGTGCATGTGTGTGTAATCTTTAAGGCCTATTCAAATAAACTCACATATGTATTCACGAAAAATTAGCTGATTTAAAGTTTAAAAGGATATAACAACGTGACATCTCTTATTTGGCACCGGTATTCATATTTCGATTCTTAAATAATATTTTGAGGTTGTACCGAAACGATCCAGCTTAAATCGAATTATAAATAGCGCCTGCAATCAGCTGATTTTTTCGTAATTTCCATATATGTAAATATATCCTTCTGAAGATCCTTGCAAGAGTTGCAGGATAGAGCATATCCTATGCGCGAGATCGGGACTTCAATCGGAGTTGTGTGCACGTAAGTGAAGCTAGGTTAGGTTAGCTAGACACACGTGGTTATGTTTCGTTTTTAGCTGTACCTTCGTACACTTTGTACACTCGAACTGAGATAGGTATATCTGGGTTCTGCAAAACCGAGAGAAAAACCGAGATCTAAAAAGTGCAATTGCAACATTTATTTCATGTGTGCGTATATACAACTGACAGGATAATACGGGTGAGTAGAAGTAGAGGCTCACCTTTTGTGTATCTGCGTAACGTAATATTTCCGGAAACATTCGGATGCGTTTCGTGGACTTGAAAAAGAAATGACGCGCAACGAGATAAGGGAGAGCAAGGGAGAGAGATGTTAGAACTGCATTCCGCGAGCGAGATCCTAGCTCTGCACTTGCGGCATAGTCATAGTGATGTTTATCAGTTAATTCGATAAGGAGCATTAAAAAGATTTCTGCTGTTACTGTTATCACATCACGAAGGCTAAATACAGAATACTTATTGATATATTTACACCTTGAAGAAACGCAGTACGTTGGGGTTATGTCATGTATCTTTAAATTATATTACCGCATTAATTAATATAGACGTTTGTTGAATAACTTTGAGCTTGAATATTATTTCAAAATAATCAAATAATTGTCTCGTGATTTACACGTTCAGACTGTCGAGGAGTAATCATGCCCCGTGCAAAGAGAGCCAGAGCAAAGAGTGACGAGTTGTCAAGCGAGAAGAAACTCAAACGATCGAATTCGAGTGTCGTAGATTATATGACTCAAATACAAACGACTCTGGGAATTAAACGAGATGCGGATGAAAATGGAGATTCGAGGGAACACACATCTGCCATGCCTGCATCTGTTTTGGATACAAAAGCAAAAAAAGATGCAACTGAGAATTCCTCGGTGGTGTCTGTACACGCTTCTGATACAGAAGGAAATGAAAATGCATTTGACCACACGTCCGTGATATCTGTGTCTGTCTCTGATAAATTGTTATCGATTGAACAAGAGCTTTGTGCCAGATTGTCAAATGTTACTTTCCCACCATCCATACAGTATATTTACAATCCGCTTGGGTACGCATTTGAAACACACGCCATGTACGTACGTAAATATTGTGCTGGCGTGAAAAAGATTCTGTTCGTCGGTATGAATCCTGGACCATGGGGCATGTCGCAAACTGGCGTGCCGTTTGGAGAGATAAGTATGGTGCGGGATTGGCTCAAGATCTCTGGTCCCATTGGCAAACCCCCGAGGGAACATCCCGACCGAAAGGTGACGGGATTCGAATGTGCACGCAGCGAGATTAGTGGACTGAGGCTGTGGGGCCTCTTTCGAGACCTATGTGGAACACCCGACAACTTTTTCCGATATGCCTACATGCACAATTATTGCCCATTCGCATTTATGGACGGCAAAGCTCGAAACATCACCCCGGCGGAGATAAAGGCAATATTTTATCCTGCTGTATCCCTTTTATCTTATGCTGAACTATCTGTCTTTTTCAGGGTGAGGGACAAAGGATTTTGCACGAGGCATGCGACAGAGCCTTGATCGACATAATACAACTTCTGAAAGCAGAGATTGTTGTTGGAATTGGCAACTACGCCGAAAAAAGAGCACTGACTGCGGTCCAAGCAGGAGGTCTTTCAGTGAAGGTAATGTATGCAGATTATTTTGATGCAGTAATCCATAATACAAAATTTATGTTAACTTGTATAATGTAACTTCTTCAGGTGATGGTCCTGCGACATCCCAGTCCAAGAGCTGTGGGCAATCAAAATTGGAATGAGACAGCTATGCAGCGGCTAAATGAATTGGAGTTACTTAAATACTTTGAAAAAGCAAGTACCGTCTAAACTTTCTCTTGCGCAAGATACAATTATTTTTGAAGATCAAAACTTCAAACGGCAAGCTTTTTTTTTGTTTAAGATAATACATTTTATAGAGAATAATTCATGAAAAAGTTAATTTTATACTAAACTATCTTCCAAATTGATCTTTAAAAATATCCAAATTCGCCAGTATATAGTGTAACATTCAATAGTACTTATTATGGATACTTTGGCATGGATGGACGTTGCATTACAAAAAGCGGAGGAATCTTTGAGAGCTGGGGAAGTCCCGGTTGGTTGTTTATTTATATATAATAATGAAATAATAGCGACGGGTAATAATACAGTAAATGAAACTTGTAATGCAACCCGTCATGCTGAAATAAATTGCATCGACCAAGTCTTAAAGTTTTGTAAGGAGAAACGCATGGACCACGAAACGGTGTTTCATGAGCTAGATGTTATTGTCACAGTAGAGCCGTGCATAATGTGTATGTCGGCACTACTTCAACTACAAGTACGCAGTATTGTATACGGCTGTGCGAACGATCGATTTGGCGGTTGCGTCAGCGTTCTCGAAGTACCAAAGTTTTACGATCCAAAAATAACGATACAGGGAAATGTTAAAGGGGAGGAGGCCATGAGGTTGCTCCAAATTTTTTATAAAGGCGTCAATCCAAACGCGCCTGAATTAAAAGCCAAAAAAGGTCGTAACACTAAAGGAACCTCGACAACAGAAAATAAATAATCTTTCTTGCAATTTTTTTTTTAATTCTAGATTCACGTGAATTTTTTTATACATATTTATTTGATATATTACACGAATATAAAGTATATGTTCAGCAATTACATAATACGCTCTTCTAGCATATAATTTTATTGCAATAAATCTTTTTATGGCTTACATTCCAAATGTACAATATACAAATAGAATAGTACTAATATTGTTAAATATTCACGCGTTTTTACTTGTTTATACAATATATATACAGTTTTATATATCTGAAATAAATATTACAGGACTCATTGATATACTTTTTGTTTCACTGTATAATTAACTACACCATGTCTTATCTAATTCACATTTTCCTTGGTACCATCTGACGAGTAATTGATTTCTCAGTGTGTAGTTCTTCAGCATCATGTCTCTTGTCTAAAAAATTTATTACAATTACAATCTAGATGATTTAGTTACATGAGAAAACATGACTTACTATGGGTGGTGGGAAAATTCTTTGAAAATCCATCCGATTCTGATGCTCAAGATAACTCTGTGACAAAATGAGTTTTGTTTCCGATGTGAAGCACGGTCGGCACAATTGGCACTCCACGCGAAAGCAATCATTGTCACATTTCTTACAGAGTTCCGGTAGCACTACGATATTCTTATTTGCTATTTCCATCTCTTCCTCCTTTTTATCTCTATAATGTTGATATATCAATAATTTAAATAATCTTCTAAATGTAAATAATTCTGCTGTATATTTTTTTTAGATGGATACAGTTTCTAGAAATATCTATACTTCTCTGGAAAACTTGATGTCTTTATGCTATTTACCTTATTCTCAAGGATTCTTTTCTAGTCCTCTTGGCGATACCGACCAACGCGAATGTATTGAATATGACCTGTTCATACAGTAACTGATTCGGAGGATAATGCGCGGAAGACAGATTCGGCGACATGTTTGCTTCCATCATGTAGACAGTCAGGTCCTCGTCGAGAGCCAGGTCGAATCTCACAAGTTCGAAGAAATTTCTGCCATTGCCGAAGCGCTTGGAGACCTCTCTGATCTGCGCCTCTTTCATCAGAGCGACCTCACGAATGGCGTCGTACACCCGGTCCCACATCTCCGCCGGATTTTGCCCTCGCTCCCTGACGTATGCGTCAAATGAGTCCTTCATCGAGTACCCGAGTTCGGCGTAGTATCTCTTCAAAGATGGCACGTTCCAAATCGGCAGGTAATCATCGCCGACCACATACTTGTCCAGCACCTCCGGGTCGAACGGATAGTACTCGATTGGACAGAAGCGGAACAGCACGTCGCCTTTGTAAACATACATCCGCAACGGATCCACAGACGTGATAACAGTGTACACGCCAATATCGAACTTGTAGCCGTCCACGAGGAACGGCCGCTCGATGAATTCCTGGATGAATGTATCGGCGGTGAAATTTGCATCGCTGCCGTCGCGAATGCGGATGCCCCGATGGTCGTTTGACTTCTGCACGAACTGCTTTGCGGGATTCGATCGGGCGTAATCGAGGAAGGCCTGCTGGTCCTCTGGCATTTTGAATGCTGCCGGGATGTATCGGCCGCCGCGCGACGTCGACAAGTCTACTTTGTTCGTGATGTAGCCACAACCGGGGAAGTGATTGACTCGCTGATGTTGTTGCAATTTACTCAAGCTCGCGGACAACACGCGAAATGGATAATCGTGGGCCCACAACAGATCCCAATCGGATTCGTTATTGCCCTCCTGAAAACCAAGTCGTTGGAGCACCGCATGCACATGTTTCAGGTAACCGGTGTCATTGCTCTTGGCGTAGACCCAGAACTTTGGTTGATCCTTATTTACTGTCGTAGAAAATTTCTCGAATAGATGTCTCACATGCGTTTGATAATGCAAATATATGAAAAATATACCATACAGAATCAGAGGACCCGCTATAGAAGATAAAATAATCTTCAGCACTGTCTTCACCTTCACATTCATGACTTGCCTTTTTATGATATATTGTGTTTTCTGTAACAGCGATCCATTATTTCTATCCAGTTAGGACTTTCTTAAATTTAATTTAAGATATAAAGTAAAAGGAACAAATGAAATTAGTGGAACTTTTATTCTACTAATAATTTTATTAAACGTCCTAAATATATCGATTTAAAAAATTGATCTAAAATCTGTAGAAACTGTTTTACAGCATTGACCTATATAACAAGTTGTGTAATAAAAATAAATCTAAATAGATTTTGCACTTCGTACCTTTTTGTCCTGCACTTTTTCAAACTCCTTTTCGTCTGACATAGTAGTGGTATTTTGATTTAAGCGGGACTAGAATTAATTCAGTCGTTCAGTCCGCACCGAGTTTACTTTTAAACTGCGAAACGTACATCATGTGAAAGTATGTACCGTTGTAACTCTCATCCCCGCTTCGACTAACCGCCTTCCACGTGGGAGAACCATTAAAAAACCGGTTTCTCTTTACGTGCCTACAATCTATGTCACGAATTACGACGTTCATCGTAAAAACCATTGTTAGAAATAAACGCTATCAAATTTTTATAATGATATATAGTAAAATGGTACTGTATAGTATTCTACAATAAAAGTAATAAAATAATATAAAGACTAACGATTCACACGCCAATAATAAAAAAACTAATTTTAGTTATAAAAAAAATGTATAATATAAACATGTCACGTTTTAAGTGAAATATGATTAATTTTTGTCGATTTATAGAGACAAATTTTGATTTGTTTGTATAATTATGTTTTATATATGTTTTTTATCTTACTAAAATGTATTAAAACACTTAACATTATACTAATTACGTCTAATTTTTTATATTTAATGATCAAATTTTTTGTTTTAAAATTGTTTTATTTAAAGTCTTTATGAGCTTGTATTTTAAATTAAAACAATACAGTCATGAATCTTATATATAAGATGTTTATAATATCATTGCATATTTTGAAAAAGATAAATCTTTCAAAAAATAAATTAATAAAATGTATAAATATACGCAAATCTTTACAAAAAAAATTAAATTTAAAATAAAAAAGAATTTACTTTTCATGGTAATTAATTACTTTTATGCTCCACCAATGTCTGTAAATTTCAAATCTATATTTAGTTGTTTAAAATTTACAAAATTTTTATATACACATTATACTCTTGGAAATTAAATTTTATATTTATTATGGAATTTAAAAAAAGGATTAAAAAGAAAAAATATAAACGCAAAAATAGTTTATATATTTTTAATTTATAAATTTACGTAAATGTTACTGATATTAACATATCTAAATATTAACTAGCATTAATGGTTCTTTAAACTTGATTAATTAAAAAAAATACGTATGATTATATAAATATTAAATCTTATTATCTTATTATTAATATACAATATTCGTTTTACAATCTTAATAAACTTTTTTACTGTAATTTTTACTACAATAATTTGAACAGTTATTTGGAATTTATAATATATTTCGTGTATCATTAGTATAAATAAAAGAAAATGTAGAAAATTTGCATGTGTTTCAAATAAGCGCTCTTTATCCTGCTACGAATGGATCACGTGATCGAACGCGCAAGCGTCGTAGGGCAAGGTTAGTTCGTCATTCTTCCATTTTCCTTTAGTTCCATTTCTCGTTCACTTCCTGTCTTTCACGTCCGTGGACTTGTCGCAAAAGAGACGTAACGACAGCGCACGAATATGGGTTTCCAAAATATTTGGTATTCACATCCACGAAAATACGGTCAAGGATCTAGATCCTGGTTAGTGTAACGCTCTTTTTGTTCTCGCTAATTTTTATGTGGCGATTATTTCTATTCGACACACAGAATAGAGCAATCGATTCCACGAGGCAATCGCGTGGCGTCATCACGAACATCGCCGCGTAGTACCTGTATTTTGTCACAAAAATTTATTTTAAAGCGGAAAATTTGTTGAAATAGTTGAATTTTGACATAATTGTAGTATATATATGTATATCGCTATCGTTTAGATGCAGCATGCATCTAAACATGCAATCTAACCTCAAAAACGCACGTTGTTGAGTGAACGGGCCATTCTGGCTGTGTTTTGCTAAACATAAACTAACAATTGTCCTTTTTCTCTTCTTCTGTTTAAGATGTTTTAAATGCAAACACTAAAATAAACGTGGATAAGAATAACGAATGGGTCTATTAGTCTCGAATCAAATTTATTATATATGTTTATTATGCATGTAAGATGCAATGTATTAATTGTGCCAATCTGAATGAAATCGATTTCGTTGCAGCCGCGCTTGTGCAAACAGACACGGGCTTATTCGCAAATACGGTCTGAACATCTGCCGACAGTGCTTCAGAGAATATGCAGCAGATATTGGTTTCAAGAAGGCAAGTATTTGTCTATATTTTTGATGTTACAAAGCAAATGCGAGAGTGTTTTTCTTACAGCTAAATATGTCTTCTTTGTTTTACAGCTGGATTAAATGTAACGTAGGAATAATTCAAGCAATTCATCGACAAATCACTATGATTTCGATCGCAACATCCTTAAATTGACATGAAAAATGGAGATTGTAACATCTGGCACTCGACATTCTTGAAATGAATATATTTATATCTGTATAATCCAATACTTATTTGGTATATATTCTTTTTACATCCTCCAACAAATGTAAATAGCTTTTTCTAATTTTCCTGGAGCAACGTAAAAGTGTGACTAAAACGATTAATTAATTTTTTTAAGAAACAATGTATATTCAAAATCAAAAGATGTAAGACATTGTTACGATATTAAGCATAAGATATCTATTTAAGAGTTTATTATATTTGCTGTAGTAAACAATACGATTTATTTAACATTTTTAACAAAATTATTTTATTCGAAATTTCTAACATTTTCTGAATTTTGTGTAATTATCTATCTATCTAAAGGTAATTCGAGTTTAATATTTATTCAGTATGGATTCAGTATTTATTTCCCACACAATAAAATTAAGAGAATTAGAAAATCAAAATATATATGAAAATAGCGTATAAAATTACAAATATCAAGTCCACTCTTTGTAGCTGCACTCTTTGTGTTTTCTACACTTAAAATGGGATAGATATATACAGATAATAGATATTGAAGAGAAAAGATACATATATGGGAGCGCATACACATTTCCTATAGATATTTCGAGAAGCATTTTTAAAGGTTCCTATTTAAAGGGCTTTAAATAAAAAATTGACAAAAAGTCGAGATTTTGCTAAAAACGAGCAGCGAGAAAAAAGTACGAGAAAAGATTCGCAATCTCGCGTCTATTCGTATCACATTCACATTCGTGACAGTCGTAAAAAAAGGGAAAAAAAATATTGGTACTGCCAATTTGGCAGCACTGCGGCAACGGGGAGGATTCGTGTAGGTTACATTTGATGCGGCGATATCGTGCGTGTCCTTCGCGCTCGAGGGTATCGCGCGTCAATCGCGACACATGGAGAGAACGATGTCGGAGCAGGCGGCTTTACAGACGCAAACGGAAACAATCTCCGAGGCGGACGTCACCGATTCCGGATCGCAGGTACGCATATTCGTCGTGGGGCCCCGAGACGTCACGAGATGTCACGAAGTGTTTTTGGCCTCGACGTGATACGTGAGTTTATCAGGGGCTCAAAGCAATATCGTGCACACGCATTATCACTCTTATCAGTCATCATAATTTGACAGCCCGATGCCTGACTCGCGACGTCGGAGTCTTTTTTGGTTCGCAGAACTTCACGGCGTCATATATCGTAGTCACAACGAGGTTACGCGTTCTGTTACGTGTCGCGCAATTGTGTTATCTCAGGATTTTAAAAACTTAATTTTCTTGAAGCCTTTTAAAAATCTTTTTCATTCTGTCAAATAGTTTTTCTAACAAACAATATCTAATATAATATTCTGATAAGCCTTCATTTTGCAATCTCTATGCTGCAATCTTTTATGTTTTGAAAAGAAAAATGTAGATGTTTATGTCAGTATTGCAGACGTAATTACTGGGTACGTTTAATTAAGTTGTGTCCTTATTTTTATCAGGTACCTAGTTTTTATTTTTTCTAGGTTTCTATACTTTACTAATTACTTTTAGTATTAGTACGTCGCAATCCTACCCATTATTCAACAAAGTTCTTTCTCAATAAGTAAAAATCCATTTTGAATTTAAGTTCTTTTTCATCAGCTGTAACTTGCAAACAAACATCAACTCAGTACGCTATTGTTTTTCCAAGTGTATCGTCCTCCGAATGAAATTTAATTAAGAGAACAGTTTCTATTTAGTATTTACATTTTAAAATATTACATTGCATATTTCGGCACGTAATAGTTTTGAACCTCGTTTTTATTAAGAATTTCGATATGATGCGTGGAATGTTCGTGAGAATTTGCGCGAGAAATCGCGTGGCGGGAGAGAGGTTTCTCGCAGGTGGACGCAAACCGAGACGTTGCGGACGTGAATTCTGCACGGCGGTCGAGAACAACCGTTCGCCGTTGAACGGAGTACGAGTGCTGGATCTAACGCGGATCGTGGCCGGTCCCTACTGCACAATGATCCTGGGCGATCTCGGCGCGGAGATCTTGAAGATCGAGCGACCCGAAGGCGGGGACGAGGCGCGCAAATGGGGCCCGCCGTTCTTCCAGGAAACGCAGGATTCGACTTACTTTATGAGCGTGAACAGGAACAAGAAGAGCGTCTGCATCGATTTGAAGAAGGGTAAAGAGATCATTTACGAGCTGGCGCGGACGTGCGACGTCCTGGTGGAAAATTACGTGCCGGGAAAGCTGAGCAGCATGGGCTTAGGATACGAAGATGTGGCCGAGATAGCGCCGCGTCTGATATATTGCTCACTGACCGGCTACGGATCCCATGGCCCGTACGCGAATAGACCTGGTTACGATGTCATCGCCGCTTCCTTAGGCGGTCTTTTGCATATTACCGGACCCAAGGATGGATCACCGTGCAAGGCCGGCGTGGCGATGACTGATCTGGCAACAGGTCTGTACGCTCATGGAGCAATTATGGCAGCTTTACTACAAAGATCGAAGACCAACAGAGGCCAATGGATACAATGTAATCTCTTGTCCACTCAAATCGCAAGCCTGATAAACATTGCTTCAAATTACTTAAACGGAAATAGGGAGGCGACAAGATGGGGATCCGAACACGAGAGCATAGTTCCTTACGAGGCTTTTTCCACGAAAGATGGATACATGACGGTCGGGGTAGGAAGCGATGCGCAATTTCTGGAATTGGTCAAAAGATTACAAATGTCAGAATTACTCGCTACGGACAAGTTCAAGAAAAATATAGATAGAGTTAAAAACAGAACGGAGCTACTTCGAATTCTCAGAGATGCACTTAAAAAGAAAACAAATCAGGAATGGTCTGCAATATTTGATGGGGCTTCGTTTCCTTATGGAGCAGTAAATACTATAAGAGAGGTAAATTTATCAATCTAAACTGATCTCAATGCATTATTTACAACGTAATAAATTTCACCTTCTTAAACTGCAATTTCCAGGTATTTGATGACCCTCATGTGAAGAACATAAAATTGGTTCAAGAAGTAGATCATGTTGCAGGTAAAATGAAACTTGTTGGACCACCTGTGACATATAGCTACGCTACCAATATAGTGCGATCACCACCACCAACATTGGGACAGCATACATCTGAAGTTTTAAGAAATATATTAAATTATTCTGATAATAAAATAGAAAATTTAATAAAACAAAAAATCGTGCGATAATAAATAAGCATGAGTCTCTTTTTATCTGTATGTTCTTATACAGTAGTGGGAATAACAAATCTCAATTTTATAAAATAAAATTTTTAGAAAGCAGTTTGATAGTAATAACGAGTGCATATATATAAACATTATTGTACCAACATTTTATCATATCTTATGTGTATATTATAGATATTTTAAGATTTGTATTTTATTATATTTTGAACACATATTTTAAGACTTAAAGATATATTACTTTGTAAAATAAATTGTAATCAATAAAAATTTGATAATTTTGATTGTAATTTTTTGTTTTTAATATAATACAATTTTTTATTATATTCATTATAAACAAATCTTTTTTTATAATCACTACTTATAAATTTAAAAATTTTGAACTTTCTTATATTATTGAAATTTTCTTTATATTATTGAAATTTTCTTTTTTTTTTTTTACAGGATGTACCTACTGTACGATTACGTTTACGGAAGCCGAAATCGAATAAAAAAGTTCAATGGACTCAGGGGACCGTAGACAATGAAAATTTAAATAAAAAGAAATCAAAATGTAAGTATTTATTATTTCCATACAATCTTTTGGGCTTATTTGACAGAAGGAATTAATTACATATTCTTTTATTTATAGGTTGTTGTATTTATGAAAAATCAAAAACTTTTGGCGAAAGTAGTTCTGAAGATAGCGACGATGAATGTGAACATTGTCATGGACATAAGGATGCTCATAAAAAAGTCTTACCTAAACCTGGTGATCCTGCGCGAGAAGGAATGTCATCACATCCTGGTAAACTTTTCATAGTCAAATCAAGTATACATTTGTACCTGCTATATATTTGTACTTGCTATCCTTATTTCATTTTGTTTTTCTTACAGAACCAATTGCAACAGGTTCAACATAAGTGTTTTATGCTTAATGACATCTTTTCCATTAATGTGAGAAATAAATTCCTTTATGCTATTTCTTGAGTCAGTGTGTCATACAGAAAGAGATGATGGATTGTAGGTAAGTAATATACCTAATAAACAATAACTAACAAAATGTATCAAAATATTACATAACAGATGAAATCATGTTGCATTGTTCATTTTAGGTACAAACTTTAAGTATGATTTTGCACTAGTATATGTACTTATATTACAGTGCTTTAACACAGTATCGCGCAGATTATAAAAATGTTGTTCAACTCGTTAATTCTTATACAGACCATGATGTGCGAATAGTAAATTATTCAACATTCTTTGAAAAGTAACTTCATCATTCCTTATGTGTTTATCTCCAAATTAATATTATTTTCTTTATATGTACTATTTGTTACTTACTATTTACTTAATAGTAGACAAATCTAGATTTTATGCGCTAAGAAAATACTTGTTATTTTGTGACTCGTATTAACAATTTAATTATGATTGCTATTGGTTTATATATTTCATTATTATGAAACAGAATTTGGAATCATGTTCTTATACAAAGAAAGATTAGAAATATGCCAAATTTTGTTTGAGAGATTTATTACATTTATTTATAATTTTATAATGCAATTGCTCTATAATATAAGCTCAAAAAATGAAATAATGTATTACAAATTAACGCCATGTATTGTCATACATCATAATTATAATTAGTTATGTCGCGTTACATATGACAAAAAAAATACAAAATAGTGCACATTTACGTTTATTCCTTGTTTTCTGTATCTAATATAAGCGTAGATAGATGAAATTTGTAAATATTTCAAATATATATAAAAATAGAACAAAATAAATAAAAGAATCCGATAGATTCATATTCATGAAAAGAATAATAATCAGAAAAAAAACTTAATATTCATTGCACACTTTCATTGAAAGTTTCAAGTTTTTAAATTTCATTGAAAGATAAATATTAAAATTAGTTTCATACACATAGGCTGTATGGATAAATTTTAAGCTGATGATTCAAAAATATCTTGAGAAATTATCAATGTATATACAATACGAATGTAGATACAATGGGAATAAATAGGAAAATTTTTGATTGTTAGGCAGATTACTGATCTAATATTAATTTGTGTTGAGTTTTAAAAATTTAAAAATAGTTCGATAATGATTTTTTTTTAGTGGATGATGTAATTTTAAAATATTAGATATTTTTTTAATTTTGCATTATAACAGACATGTCAACAATATATTCTTATGATATTCATTCTTTTAACAACATTCTTAGTAATTTTTTTGTTCAAAATAGAAGTATTCTAATGAGATTCTATATTATATTACCAAAAAATGAAAGTCTGCATATGCATTTGCATAATCCCAGATAATTAGAAAATATATTCTCATCATATTTGTGCTTTTACGCAATAATAGTATTCTGGACGATTTTGTATAGTATAACTTAAGTGCAAAATATATCTCTAAGATCTTGTAAAAATAAATGTTTAAATCGGAAATTTAATAGTTTTTAATCAGTCAATATTAGTGCCACTTTTCTGATACTTGTGTCTCTTTCGTACTTCCATTCCTCTACGATAGGACTTTTCGTCTAAGCCTAAAGCCTTTACCATAGCCCGACTCCGCCATATTTTCACTGTATAGTCGTCACTGGTTGTAACTAACATCTCAGGATCGCGTGGATTAAAAGCTACTGAATTGACTACATCACTATGAGGAAATTTTGCTAAGCAGATTCCGTAATGTCTATCCCATAAGTAACCATGTTTATCTTCCGCACCGCTGCAAACAAAGATATTTTATATTTTGAAAACAAATCTTATTTAAATAATAAATAAAATACAAGCGTATTAATTACCTTGCTACGTATTCGTTACATACATCCAGGAATATAAAGAAACATTCGTTATTAGGCGTATATGCTTTGTGTGCTCTTAACATTGTGCCAACTTGCTTTAGTGTTACCAAGTCAATTACATGGATATCAATTTCTTGAGCTATTGGTGGTGGTTGTAAAGGGTTGGTAATAACGTAACCCTTCGGCCACGGCCTTGTATTTACATAAAGATATCTGGAGACATAATTCATGCATAATTAATTAGCTGTATATACATCTCAAGTACATTTATTCTACATGACGACTAACTGACCTATGATCGGGAGAAAGTCCCATTCCAATAATGTGGCCGTGAAGATCAATTAGATGATCTATCTTATCGAATTTGTCCGCCACAGATTCATAATTTAGCCAATCTTCCACCGATGGAGTATTCTGTCTCTCTCGTTCCCTCTTTTGTTGCGCTATTCTCTCGCGCAGTGACGGCCCTGGGTCCAATCTTCGTGGGAAAGTGACTAATTTGATCCTCTTAAAGCCAACTTTATGCGGAGTATATGTTTTTGAGCCAGTTGTGAAAATAAGAAGTTTTTCGGGATTATTGGCTAACTCGTCTGTATCACATTCTTCGGTTATTGAAGATTCTGTAAACTCATTTTTTGTCATTATACATGCTACATAGTGATTAGAATGGCCAGCCATAGTTATTTCCTATTGCCGTGTATTACACGTGTAATTTTCCTACCTCCAGACTCACTCTCCTCCTCCCATTGCGGATTCTCACTTTCGCTATCGCTTTCGTGCGCCTTCTTCTGCATTTCAACCTGCCTATATTCCTGATTGTACTGTATAGGACTAGCATATTCAAAACCATCACCGAGTTTTCTCCAATTTGAAAATGCACCTTCCAATTTACTATATCTATTATGTATATTACGTAATATTAATTAATAATAAAAAAATGTACGTGGAAGTTATATGTATAAAAAAAGAAATTCATACTGTATTCGTGATGATGTAATGTAGTATATTGGTTCTTCTTGATTTTGCGAGCTATTAGATTCGTCCGAAGGTGACAACAAATCCTTGTGACTCGGTGGATTTCCTTTCTCTTCCTTTGTATTCGAGGAAGACGGTTGGCTTTGTTGTTCGGTGGATTCAACTGGTGCAGGTGCTAAACAATTTGCAACCATAATTGCCCTAATCGAGGAAGCATTTCCATTGTAGAACCTGAAAATCATTACAAGCATATGAAAAAAAAATATAATTCATTTACGAAGGTTTGCTTACGTTTCTACAAGAAATTAAATTGAATTAATTAAGGAGCGATTAAAAAGAGCGATAAAAAGATTTACCTAAAGAGTTGCGTCATAATGGGCACATGTTCGCTAGCTGATTCCTGGTTTGCCTTATTGAGCCAAACTACGCTAGTACTGACCAAATGCGCCAACCAATGTAGATTTCCACTTAAAAGGTAACGTTCACTGTACCATGTACCAAATATGTCATACGGCTTATTCACTACTCTACACTGAAGATCAAAGCCAGCTGCAAATAGATAAAAAATACATGGAAGCATTTATTTGATCGAGATAATTTTTTTTTATCAAAATCTATTAGATAATCTTATTGTCTCTCTCTGATTCTCTGACTTAAGATTTATCAATTTGCAAAGTATAATCTTTATCTTATTGATACAAGGCCTTTTGTTGACACTTACGTGCTACTCTGAATACTGCTATTTCTCCCGAAGTACTATGGGGTGTACCAAAATGAACACCAGACACAAGAAGCAACGTATCTGTACAATTAAACTGGGAAAATTGTGTGTACTTCCAACTAAATGTCTTCATATCATGCAAATATTTTATGGTAACAGGATACTGACTTTGCCATACCTAAAATAAAAATATTTGAGTAATAAATGTAAGTTTACACAAGAGAAAGTAATAACTGTGAAATTGAGAGAAGAGCTTACAAGAATATATCCATCTTTTGAACAGGTTGCAAACATTTTGCCATTGTGGGAAAAGCTCACGTGTAAGACCTGATGTGAATGTTCTTTAAGAATTTCAGTTTCTATCAATGGGGTGTGATATGCCAAACGTTTGAATTCTCCCAGCCAGGAGGTTTTTCCTACGAAAGAATAATAAATATAAAACATGGCTAAAATATATATATATATATATATATATAAATATATGTTAGCATACAATTTAATAAAAAATTAATGTAAAATGATTTTTCTGTGTACATAAAATTTTTCTAGAATATCATTTCTTAAAAGATATAAAATCAGAATTATAATTAAATTATATATGTGCACTATTTTAATAAAATTGTCTTACGAGAACATATGACAATAACATTATAAAAGTAGCATTATAAAAAAACAATGAATTTTGCTATTCTAATCTCAATAATTAGAAATTTACAATATTCTCAAATTTATTTAATACATAGATAGCTCTCTTTCTCTTTACAAATTACTTTGTTATTATCTTGTATTATTGATTTCTCATTTATTGTTTTCACAAGTGCCATATGTAAAATAATTTTTTGATTCAGTTGAATCTATAGCAGCCTTGCTCCAGAATTGAATCGATCTTCTCGAAAAGTGGGCGGTACAAATTTATATTTTCTCTATGCAATATCCGGCAGATGTTATTTTCGATTGCGTCAAAGTGCGAACTACACTCTCGTGGCGAAGACATACCTGGCACGATGCCGACGTCCGGATCTATCTTGTACGTCCGATAAAATAAATATTTCCAGAGGAATTCGTCACGCGATACTCTGTACCACGATCGGCACACCTCGCCCGCGGTCGTCAGCTCCTTCGGCGTCAGGTACTGGAAGATGCTCAGGAGAATCGAGTCCGACATTACGTACCAGCTCAATTCACCTTCGCTACGTGACGAATACTCGCTACCACCATCGTCCGACTCGCTAACGTCCTCGTCGGACGACGTTCGGTCGTCGGATCGCGCGGTACCCTCGAGCCCCTCGACGTCGTCCATCGTCGACGCGCGGCGGTTTATTTACTGGAACAGCTGATATCTGTCAGTCTACTACGCTGTCGTCGCGCTGTCGTCACGCCAAGGATATACGCGAGCTCTGCCCGAGGTTAGACTCACGTAGCCCGCGGTCGCGCGTCGCTCACCGACTCAACGCGGCCGTTCACGATCGAGTGCATCGCGTCGCGCAACACCACGCACGGTAAAAATACGATACGAGCTGTTGCATCGCGGAATGAAGCGGCATGCATCCGTGCCAATTCGTACCCGACGTATGTTCTTGGACGGAGAGGTTTACACGCTCTTTTCCGATCAATTTCGGAACGCCCCGATATTATAATTGTAAAGAGAATGTTCACCGCTTCCTGTCACGACATGACGCACTAGACACTACGGAGTCGTTAGATTGTTTTTATTTTTTGCTTTTACTTACACTCTCTAAATGACTATAGTCCTTGAAGAAAAAAAAAGCGAGCCGAAGCGAGCTAAATAGCTAAACACAAAAAATGAAAGTAGAGCAAGCGGATCTACACGAGATTTATTTTAAACGAATAAACCTAGTAGATTTTGTTTATTCTATTCTACTCACATTTTACACATTTGAACTTTCTCTTTCTCTAATGCCCGAATACATATAGCATCTCTTTTCAAGTGCAATAATGACAAGGAACACAAGTAAACAAACAATTGGGCCTGTTCGGTCTGCTGTTTGTCACTCTTCCTGATAAACTCTGCACTTTTTCGTCTTTTTTCTTTTTACCTTCAACATATATATTTATCTTATTTCTAAGTGTAGAAAGGACGACATAGTGCAACTGCTACAGCTGCAGAGTGCAGACATCAGACCTCGTGTTTATCTTGTGAGTTTCATAACCTAGACTCTGAAAGATTTATATTTTTATCTAAAATGAATATTTATAATTAAAATTCATAGTTGTATATATTACAGTATTTGCAGAAAAAAATTTGTAAGAACATAGTGTAAAGTGCACAACTTTTCATATAAAATCATTACAAAACATGTGTCTTTCTTAGCTTAGTTAGGTAATGTATAAATTTAATAAAAAAGAAAAAGAAAATTATATTATCGTAAATATTTGTAAATAAAAACAAACTTTTACCTATAGGAAATGATGTTAAAAGCATGTTAACATTTAGTTACTAGAAAATTTCTAAAGTTGTGACAACACAGGACGAAAAACATTTCAAAATGTTGAGTTCAATTTTGAAGCATCCTATTACTTCTAAAACTCTATTAGCTCAAATACGATCTGTCCAAGGGATAATGCAAAAATATTTTATATGTGACAAGAGAACATTTTCAACAGCAGTGGCTATTAGAATGTTTCTAACGAGATGCACAAGGTAAAAAATATAACTATATAATAGTACTTTTGATATAAAGTATATCTTTTAAAAATAATATATCTGAATATATATATATATTAATCATTGATTTTTTTATTAGAAAAATGAATATTTGTGTAAATATATACAGGATATTCTCGACCTATATTGTTACTTCTTTTAATTACAGGTGAAAGAAATTAAATTTAAAAAAGTAGAATAAATTGTTGTCACAATGTCAATATTGTTTTGACCATCATTTGATATTTAATTATTCTATTAATAAAAAATTATTAACTCCAAATTGAAATCATGAATTCCAGAAGCGACAATTCTAAGATATCCTGTATATTTTACAGTTATATATATATATATATATATATATATATATATAAAATAAAAATAAAAATAAAAATGCAGGCTATCTGATGGAGCAACACGACCAACAAGTTTTCTTAAATCTAACGGATTGCTAAAAAATATATTAGTTAAACGGCAAATGTCACAATTGGATGTAAACACGAATGTACAGAACAACGTAATTTTATATAAATTTGAAAGAAATGCATATTTTCGAAATGTACAAATTTTTGCAGTTGCACAATTATTTGGTTGGTTTTTATTAGCTTATTATACTTATAAACCATCGTTTTGGGACATATTTTATACTGACATAAAGTTTAAAGACTATTTGTGGAGAGATGCGATTTGGCTTAGCACTTGTCTTTTCTCACTTATTGTAGGTAAGAACTCATCTTTTATAGTCATACGTAATAAAATTTAATATTTTATAAAATAAATATACAAGATTATTGGAACTACCAACGATTAAAATTACATTAATTAATAAAAAGAAGGTCATGGGAGTTAGGCGCGGTAAGAAGTGCGCAAATTAATAATATTGTAATATCATATGTGATAATGTGTAAATAAAATAATTTCTTACCATACCTAACTCCTGTAGCCTTCTTTTTATTAATTAATGTGATTAATTTTATATGAATGTAGATGTTCATATGTTCATTTTATTTGCTAAATAATTCTTTATAAAAATGCAGCAATTTTATTTTATTTTTTTACGAAATTGATGTATTTATTTTAATTCTATTGTAGGACCTTTCATGTTTCTTTTCATTTATGCTACATGTGCTCGTAGCATCAAATATATTATTTTAAATAAAGGCGGTAAAACACTTTCAATTACTACTTATCACATACTAAAGAAGAAATCCAACATAAATGTACCACTAGGAATGGTAAGAACCACTTATACATGATAACTATAAAGATAAAGTTAATTAATATTTGATATATAGTATTAATAATATATAATGCTTTTAGAGCATGAAAATAAATATAAAACTCAAAATATTTTTTAAACATTTGAAATGTTCCTCATTTGAGATATTCTTTTTAAGGCAAAATGCGCTGCAAACAGGATGGACGTAGGAGCAGTTCTACCAATTAAAATAGAAAATAAATCTTTTTTCTACTTGATTGATAGAAAAGGTGCATTTGTAAACCCAAAACTTTTTGATTATGCAATGGGATAATTATTTAATTTTTATGAATAAGTAGTATTACTATATATGTTCTCTTGATATAATACATCGTTTATAAAAAATGTAATTACCGTCATATATTTATGTATAAAATATAAATACATAGAATTATCTATTACTAAAAATGTATTATTAATATATCGATACAAATTAAATTGCGAATTAATCGGCTGAAAATTCTATATGTTATTTCTGGAGAAAAGAGATTATCCTTTTTACAAATTATTTATATTGGTATTACCAAAAAAGTACATTTACAATTTATATTCTCTGGAAAAGGATAAAGACTGTTAGTACAATATTTATGCACAAATACACATAAGTACTATGTTTTATTGCACTGAGATTAGTTTTTTATTTCGTCATTGATTTTTAAATCCCTTATGTAAGAATTGGCAGAATGATTGGTACTTTAATTAACGGTCGAGACCATTTTGCATATTCCAATCAATATCTCTGATGTTGTCTGTCATAATACTTTCCCGAATATTTGCTGTATCGATCGCTGTAACCATCATCCTGGTATTTGTCTTCGGCTTTATAATAAACTTCAGGTGCTGTAGAACCAACACGACCTTGCCAGTAATGAGTCCAGTATAGATCTTCTGGATTGATATCGTGCGGATGTTTGGCATTTTTGAACACATGTACGCAATACACGAGACTACCGATCAGTGTTAAAAATCCAAACACAAGAAACACTATTCCCAAGATCCTAAAGAAAAATGCATTAAATTTTATAGGACACATTTCCAAATGTATAATTTATACATTATTTACACACTTTCTATTCCTTTACTTTCTAATCCATTGCTAATAATTATTAGAAATATAACTCGATACATGTACGTTTTGCAATTATAAATTTGTCCTTTAAAATCTACATAATTGAATTTTGAAATAATTATATTTATTTTAATAGATTAAAAATGGTGTAAAAATTTATTACACGGTATTCTTACCAAACAACTAATGGCTGGAAAAATTGTATGACGATAACGAAGCCTAGAGTAACTAGAATCAAGCCAAGATTGAGAAGTAACATGAGGCAACAGACTCCCTTAGTGTTTGGACAGAATGGGTTAGGCGTTGACATAGTTTCCACGATTATACCGCCTTTCCGTGACGTACGAGTTTTCACTGTCGAAGTGCCTGACCTGCCGGAACCGTAGCTGTAATGACTAGGCGCTCTGTGGTGGTCCAATCTGGAGCTTGGTGCGAGGCTAGGGCGTGAGACTCGACTGTTCGTAACACAAGACAAAAAATACATTTTATATACTACAAGCAAGTATATTTACGGGACGATACTATGGGAATGCTACGTTTTATATAAATCTGACCGACCTTATATCGGAAGTAGCTCTGTATGCTGCACTGGTGACATATATATCTGAACCATTGTCACAAATACTGCCGTGCGAGGCAGTTTTGCGAAGCGGATGCAAACTATGCTTCGAAGATCCGGACAGTACCGAGTCGCGAGTATTATGTGCGCTTCTGGATCTTCTGTCTTCTTCTCTGTCATACTTGTCCGCGTGTCCGTTCTTTCTTATAGGTTTCACCTGAAAAACATTTATAAATAAAAGATTAAATATAAAAAAGAAGACGAACACTAATATAATAATAGAATAGAATACGTTCTAAGCTAAAAGAATGTTCTTTCCATGAGTATAAAATACACTACCATGGTGGTACGTTCGTTAGCAACGATATACTCAGACACGGTGCGATCCGAAGGAGCTCTGTGGCTCTCTTCGCCATCCGTAATGTAATCACGATTTCCGTTAATATGATATCCGGCATATCTCGAAGTATGCATTTTGGATCAGTCGACTCGCGCACAAGAAATGTCAAAGACAAGTAATTATAATTATATAATAACGTCCGTTTAGCTCATCTATAACAGAAATAAATATCAATTTATCGACAAATTCTCAAAAGTTACGGTTCGTCGTAGAATAAAAGGCAGGAGATTGTACTTACTGCGCGGACGCAATGTACAAGCGTATCCGTTTCCATTCCTATTTATATAAAATATATTGGATATTTTGAAAGAGAACTGTGCGTCACACGCATCATTTACGCCGTCAACCTGCAACAAAGATTGCTTTGCTTACAATGCTGAAGGGAATTAATGCGCACGGAGAGAATTTTGTTTTAAAATTTACCATAAAAATCATGTTAATCGTAGGACAACATAGTATTTCGACAAATTTTATGTGATTTTCACTATATTTTTTAGTATATATTACAACAAATTTATTGTAGTGTACAATAAAATTTGTCGAAATATGTTGTCCCACGATTAACATAATTTTCAGGGTCAATTTTAAAAGGAAATTCTCTCCGTGCGCGGATATTTGCATTCTTAAATCTTTTTTTTTTTTTTTCAAGTATTTTCGTTTTCAATCTTATTTATCAGCAGCCAATTTGAGACATATTCTATCCTATTCTATCCTATTCGTTTTCAGTCGTGATAATCCTCCGTGATTGAATGCAAATTTATCGTAAGGTGTGGCGTTCCTTTAAGTGCTACCTGCGCATAACGATTGCAAAACGGTGCATCGTTACGGGATTGTCTGGCGATCGTAGGCAGTGCCCACGGCGCGTTCATCGCATTGGGCGAATCCTTATTTAGTATACGATGATGTCATTTGGCAAGGACATGTGCAACATCTTCGATTAGTAATGCGTACTCTTTGCCTCTCCCCGATCGTTCCCCCCACGACTCTTTTAAAGCGACACCTCGTTAATCATTTCACAATGAATGATCATATCTGTCATTTATATCTCTATTTATTAAATATGCATATTATATGTACGTTCAGTATGTCGTGACATTTCTTTAATCTTTGTTGCAAACGGAATGCTACGATTGCATCTTCAAAAGCAAAGCATTTCACGACAGGCGATGCAACGACTCAATCGGATTTTACGTCGTTCCCTGCAAAACCTGCACTTCGAGGTGATTTTTAGTTACGTGAAAGATAAATATTTAAAATATATAGATAGACGAGAAGTTGTCATTTCTCTGGAAATAAACGTCCCAACTTCCGCGTCGCGGATTTAAATAATTCGATTCCTTTTTTTCTCTAACTTCATAAAATTGATTTCTAGCAATTAACATCTGAGAATTCGTTATAAGAGCTCGCTTGGAATTCATTTACTTTCTACAAAACAAATATACGACGATTCGAACGAGATCAACGCGATTAATGCCATCCGTCGTCTAAAATACGTTCACTCTCGTCAGTCAACCGGTTATTAAGCTCCTGCTTTACGTTTTTTCTCGCGTTAATCGCGATTTTTAAACGGACCCCGTGTGCACGCAAGAGGACGAAGCGGCGGACTGCGACGTGCGCAGGCGCCGTAGATCCGATGTGACCTGGTGCTGTGTGCCCGCGCACTATCCTCCCACGATATAAATCCCCGAAAAACAAAGAAAAGAGAGCGAGAGAAAGAAACGTCAATGAGATGTCGGTACGAAGCACGCCACGCAGGTGACGCAGGACGCGGAACCGAGAGCGTCGCGATGAGGGACTGCGCTCGAGGGACGCACACACGCGCTCGCGTCGATCGGCGCGTGCGAATCTCTTGTGATGTCTTGGTTGCGGATCGAAATAGTTTGGGAGGGCCATTCGAAGGGCCCTCGAAAGGATTGCGGAGGGAGACTGATCGCGAGCTAGTGCAGTACCTTGCCATCCGCTCGCGGAGATTACGCTCCCCTGTGCTAATCCTCCTTACAACCCGCGGGCGATTCCTCTCCTCGTGGTGACGCGCTGGCCAAACGTGCGACGTGCCTGGATCGCCACGACATATCGATCGCTCGGTCACGCGAGCCGTCTTCGGTCCTGCATCCCGTGTTTCTCTCTTCCTCCTCGAGATCGGTTGTTCCTGCACTCGCGCTCGAAGAGCACTCGCGGCGACTCGCGATCGCGACACGCGACGATTCTGCAGGTGCAGGCTACACGGCGTTCGCGCGGATCCGCGAGACACACGAGACACGAGACGCGATCGTGCCGTGCCCCGCTGCTCTCGCCGCCTGTCCTCTCTCGCCCGACGCCCGCTTCGCGACCGGAGTCCCTGGAATGGTCGAGCGATGTCGACGGGCGTCTCGCGACCGCGAGCGAAAGGCGCGTTTATCGTGGCGTGCGCTTTTCCACCACACGCTTCCGTCTGACGCCTTTAAAAGGTGAGCTCAGGTGTGCGCGTTAACTATAGTCCTTACCGCCCGCGATTGCGCGTCCATCCGACGTGTCCCTCCTCTGCGCGAAATGACGTGAAATCAGGTCGTTCGTCTTACGAAGGGATGCCTATTTGACTTTTATCCTCTGCGATTCCAGAAATGCGCGTTCACTGCACAAACAAAAGCAAAATATAGATTATACAAATGGACCAAGGAATTTTATAAATGAAAATAAAAACATATATCATGGAACTCTTATTAAGTAGCGCTTTCTCTGCGAAAATATATATATTTACATCTGAAATACAGTACAATTCTAACTATTGCTAATTAAATGTAGAATACGCGGCAACGATATAGAATTAATGTTTTCGCACGGTTTGCTTGTCACGCATTAACGTTACTAATTTTTTACAGTTTTTTCTTGTTTCGCAAAAGAAGTTCGATAAAGATTTTGAGGTAACCCTCAAGATAATAACTGCAGATACAAGAATACACATTCCCGCGGCTCCGAAAGTAGTTTTACGATCAGACGCAGTTATGCAATATAAAATCCAGCTCTGAAAAAGAAAACTGGTTTTGAAAGCAGTCCAGTTAACCCGCGAGTCTGATCTCAGAGATCAAGAATCCGCAAAATAAATTCATGACTTAAAGCAGGCATATCAATTCTGCTCTGATCTGTGAATCGCATTTATATCACAATTATTCACAAAAACTCAAAGCTGCGATTAATCCAAATTTCGATTGTTCTGTCACGTTTCGCTATTTTAGAGCTCGCGGTTATTTAATTTTATCCCGTTGTAGCTACAGAACGATTGCTTTATCTAAATTTAAACAAAATTATTGCTTTTCCAAGATCCTATTTCGTATAATTTCCGAATTATCATACGTAAATTGTAACGCGGGAAAATAACGACGAGAGTAAAAGTTGAGCTTCGTACTTTTGCAGCTGCCGCGTGCAATACGCATGCGCAAGGCGTTGCACGAGGGCAACCACGCGCGCCAAAACCGAAGCCCGTGCGGCGAGCGTTCCGAGTTTCCGACGACCGACATCACGTTGTTGGTAAACAACGTACGCTCTCGATAGCCGTGCCTGTCATCTCCTGCCTGCATTTAGATATACACTTATATGAAGTTTCCCGTGAATGGAGGATTTACGATGTCGCAACACGGAGCCGCTCTGCAAACGTATAATCAGGAGCTCGTCAAATGTAATTCGTCCCGTTTAACCTAAAAATTATTATTTGGCTACTATTGATAAGTTTGTGAAGATAGGTGAAATGATAGAACGGACAAAAAAGTTTGATTAGTTTTGATTGCTTTAATTTTACAAATCCAAAAAACGTATATAACGCGAGTACTCTTGTGTTACATATAATCCTGACGCGGCGTTAAAGGCATCTCACGAAAAAGAAAAATTATTCAAACGTCACACTGAAGATTTCGAGTTTACTTTACTCTGCGATATCATAACTTGATATATCCAGGAACGGGACCGATCATTTGGACGGGATCGATCTCTCGTTGGAGTTGTACATGTACAGAAAAAAAATTGTTTTTCCAGGTTTAGAAGAGATGAAGCTAAGGCGATCGGAACTCCAAGCTCAGATAGAATCTCAGGATGAAGAGAAGAACAACTTACATCGCGAAATCGAGAAGATGTCATGTAAACTTACGCAATTGAACGATAGCTTAGCAAAAAGGATCGCAGTCAGAAACGAATACGACAGAACTATTGCCGACACCGAAGCTGCATATGTGAAGGTAAACGTTGTATTTTTGAGTAACCTATTCTAAACTGGATATTAATCTCGTGCAGCTCTCAAGTGTTATATTTGTCTTATTATAGATTCTAGAGAGTTCCCAATTATTGCTTAATATGATTAAAAAAGAAGCCGTGAGTCTGGATCAGACGTTAATTAAAACCAATATCGATAAGCAGCAATACCAATAATAAGATATAAATTAGAACTCGATAAAAAATTTGTGAGGGACCAGATATTTAGAAAATGTATTTATTAAATTATCAATGGATGCATTATCACAAAGATATAGATAATAATTAATTAACAAGTACAAAATTGTAAATACATAGACTTTTAAAACATACAAGTTTTTTTTATAGCCTCTGCAAAATTCATTAACTGTACAAATATATATGTTAATTATATTATTTGATTTTATAAAAATAATATTAATCAGTCTATATGTGTGTGTGTGTGTGTGTGTATGTGTGTGTGTGTGCGTGCGCGCGCGCGCGCGCGT